GTCTATACTAAAAAAACAATATTTTAACATTGATTGACTTTTTATAGAAGGCGGTAATCTTCGGACATAATTATAGCGGACGAAGTTGCGGGAAAACAAATAGTTAATTAATATAGTGAACAGTTTCGTCGTCATTCGTCCTGCTCTAACTTATATTCTTTTAAGAGTAGGACAGAGCATGTTTGAGTTGAAAATATATCAGAAATGGGTTTCAAGAATATAACCCAGATTTCCTTTTATTTGACGAAAATATGGAGAAACGAAAAATACCGGAGCTTTAAACGACAAGAAGTTTTTTCATTATAGCGACAGCGTTGATAATTTGATTCTCCACTTGCGTAAAAGACACCCGCCATCGTCTCTTTATATACATATATAGGTATAAGGCGACCGATATTATTGATGAGTCAAGTATGCAAGACATTTTACAAATAATTTTTGTCTGAGATCGAATTTCAAATAATATTATCGCATGCAGTCATATGGCGGAGTAGCTCGGTGGTATAGTGGATAAGTGGCGCAGCCTGCGCTTATCGTTTGTTAAGCAATTTTCACAAAGGTGAGTCATGGGATGGGTGATATAAAAAAAAATATTATCTCAAGCCACTCAGTGCTTCGGAAAGCACGTTACGTCGTTGATCCCGATTGCATTTACAATCATTTATACCCTCCAATTCGCTTACGGCCAGGGTGGAAGGCCATGCCCCATCATCCTTAACCTTCTATAAAGAAGGTGTGTGCCCCCGCAGTGGGCACGTAAAAGGGCTGACGATGATGATGACTCACATGACGATAATCTCCCCACTGCTAGGGTGTAGGCCTTTCCCACGGATGGAATCGAATCGAATAGTGAGAGTGGGCCCAATGCGAATTTGTGGGTGTTAACGAAAGCCGGTACCAATAGCTCACCTTGCCTTCTAAAAAAGAGACGAGGTCGAGGTAATAAGTTTTTGGTCACCCATATTTAACCCATAACCCTTGCGAAAGTTTTAAGCAACTTTCGCTTCCACTTCCGATACACACACCTAACAAGATATAGCTTGGAATCTCTACCGTACATTTAATTAATGTAGCTATCACAAAATCGATTATCTCCAAGACTCTGTATTAATCCTGTTTTAAAGTCCTAATTATTTAGTCGTGAAAGTACTAAGCTTTCATAATGACGTACGAAGTAAATTGTCTCTACACAGTACCTATATCAGATTAAGTTTTTGCATGCAATTTTGAACTTTACAAACAAAAGACAGAGCTTTTAATTGGAGAAATACATTATGCAATAACCTGAGGGTTATCGCCTGAACATACACCGATTTAAAATAAAACGAGACCTAACTATATTATCAGGTTTAAATTATTATCCTACCAAAATTAGTAAGCACATCTTAATTTGACGTTTTCTCTGCTGTTATCGCCACCTTAACCAATAAGGTGGCTAATAAACAATTCCACCACGATTTACATGACGAAATTAATGTCGTGACACCATCTGCGAATAAAGACGATGTCGACGGAGCCATTCTAACAGATATACTGTTGATTTTACGCTGTTATCAACCTTTCGTTTTCTTTTTTTATATACCGTAGGGAATATTAACATTTTATTGACCTGCAGAGCGATCGCCTAGTTCTCTAACCTTGATTCTAGCCATAGGATAGGTTATTTAGCGATGTTATAACGATATTTCGTTTCTTGTTACTAATTTAACTTGACGTTTGGTGGATTATTTTGGGATAAAAGACTAAGTTGGATTATGGAATTGAAAGCAGTGTTTCCAACTTAGTAATTTATCCCAAATCTATTCACCAAAAGATGTTAAAGTAGTAAAATGAATCGAAATATCGTCATAAGCGGTCGCCCCCGGATGATCCGGACCGCATGCTAATACTAACTTAGTTTTCACATGTGCTGAAATTAGTTTCGAGAAACTAGTTTCATAATGCATAATAGTAGTTTCGTAATATAATTTAAGTTTTACAGATTATTTTATGGAAATGTTTCATACAAATTACAAAACGATTCGCATATTTACAAGTTTTTCGTAAATAAAAACAAATACCCGCTCGATTCGTTGCACAAACAAAATTCAACACGTGGAAAACATTATTTTCGTTTACAAATGAATTCGCCATTCATGTGACGTCGAACAAAAAGGGAGTTATGAAATTCGTATTTGGTTACCGTTCCATGTTTGTGATGGAAATTTTATGCAGGCTATCACCGGAAAGTTTTCAATTTGAAGCATTTTATAGCCCATATCCATAGTACACAATCAAAAGCATATTAAGTTATATCATTTCGTCAATTTTCTATAATCCAGGGTAAACTTTAATTTATTGAGTTAACTGACATGCATCTTACGATTAATAATATTATTATATACAATGATATTACAATATAAATATTATATACTCACACCGGCACAATTAGGGGAACACAAAAAAGGACGATTTTTACAATTCATATAGTTTCTATAATTTTTTGTAGTTATAAAATAAATACATAGTGTTAAAATATCTAAAATTAAAACAAAAGAAGTTACGTATTGGCAAGATTTAGAAAATACACTTGAATTGCCAAAATTTGCAAAAAAAAAAAAACATTTTTACGATGAGATGAGATGAGATTTTAAGTTTATCTTTTTCTTTTAATACACAAAATTAATAACGAGTATTGCCTCCGCGGGCTCTTAGCAGAGGTAAGGGTAAGTGATGAATATAAATAAAGAAAACTATCGAACATATTTTAATGGGGCTAAAAAGCAATGAAACAGTCTGTTGGATCTTATTAGTAGGTACTAATTAAGTTTCCATCACAATTTAAAGATAATTTTTTTATATCTAACAAAAAATGTCTTATTATTTGCTCAGTTTTTCAAATCATAATCTTTATCAGCATATTTTTGCATGGAGCTCGATAGCGCAGTAGTTAGCGCGCGGTATGCGATTAAGCAACATTCACAATGGCCTGTCATAGAATAGGTGACCAAAAAAAATTATCCCGACCTCCTCCGTGCTTTGGAAAGCATGCTAAGCCGTTGGTTTTAGATGTATCTGCAATCGTTAACACCCACCAATCCGCACTGGGCATGCATGGTGGGTCCATGGTCCTTTCTCCTTATTCGACTCGTTTCTATTCATAAGGCTTGAGCCCCAGCAGTCCCCACATAATAGGCTGATGATGATGAGTCTAGTAACGAAATTCTAGTAAGTTAAACGAAACAAGGCATTGAAATAAATTTTTGTATGAATATTTTTATAAAAAAAACATTGACGCTCTGTGGCAGCGCGCATAATTTAAGACATCAACAAAATTGCTTATAATATGATTATATTCAGTCGTCAGTACTCGTAAAAATGTAACAACAAAGAAGAATGTCGTTAAAAGGAAATTCTGAAAAGAAAGTTTTTTGTCTTTTCATTATTTAGACGGAAGTTTCGGTATTGAATTATTTGGGAGGTTGAGTGTGATTAATTTATTTGATCGTAAAATGGGATTATACAATAAAAATTCATGATTAATTCTAGTAAAATATTGAAATTACAGTGTCTTATGCCTTTTATGGATGACGATTCATTTTTATTTTTAATTATTGACAAATACTATGGTTATCCTAAATTTTCACTTCGATTTGACTCTTTAAAAAAGTTAGTTATGATATTTACAAACTGTTCAATGAACTGCTATTGCAACCGGGCTAATGTTTTTTGTAGGTAATTTAATAATTACTGCCAGACTTCAATAGCAGTTTCTTTTCTCACTTTCCCAAAGATTGAAGTCAGTCAGGTGCTATTTCAAAAAATTTTTAGTGATATTATTTTTTCATATACAACACTTAAAACAATAAATATCTGTATAAATAATATGTCAACATAATAAAAGTAGAAAGAGCAAAGTAGATTGTAGAATAGATTTTGTTTTTATACTCGGTAGATTTTTTCCAATACACATTTATACTGATATTTGTATAGAATAAGCTCCAGACGTACTAGCCCGATTTAAAAAAAAATAACCTCCAAGAAGATACATCATACACAGGGGACATAGGTTAATATTTATGTGGACGACGTCTCGTTACAACAGTTATTTTGATAGAAATTGGTTCACATTCGGAAGAAATCGGTGAAAATACCAATTTTCATTAAAACATGCCCTTACAACATAGAAAATGCATTCAGATTTTGAATGAATGCATAATTGAAAAACAAAAGAAAGGTGGAAAGCGTATTTTGTTATGATATAAAAACAATGCTACAAATTTGATTCCGATGAAATTTATATGGGGTCTTCCATAAATTGTGTATATAAAAAAGATTTTTAAATCGGTCAACAATTCGCGAAAATAGTAGGAGATCGATCACTGATCATACATAAAAAATATATACATTGCCGTCGAGAATAACCTTTACGAGTTTGAAGTCGGCAACCTATATTTTTACGATTATTTTGGGCGTCTTTTCTCGATTGATACTCATTTTCATGAATAACAGATGAGGGGTATTCATGCAGGAATTGACGCACTGCCGATATAGACGGACGGATGGACAGACAGCCGAGTGATCCTATAAGAATTTCTCTTTTCTTTTAGAGTAACTTTAAAAAAGCTATTCTTAAAAGGCTTGTAGTTGTATTTATTACTTCAAATCATTAACACGACTCTGTTAATCGACTTTCACACAAAACCGAAAAGGAGGAGGTTACACATGAACATGAATGAATAAAGAATCATCGTAATAATTATAATGCCTTCCTGGAAAACAAATAGAATACAATATAAATCACTTGTATCTTTCTAAAATTATCACCCCGATAGTCGCATTAATCATACGTGCAGATGCAACTAATAGCTATTAACAGTATCGGTACAAAGCACACAATGTCGTGAATGCTTACAAGCGGCAGTTACAATGTCGCAACAATGAGTATTGTTTGCATTTTATACATTCACAATGGGAAAACTTACTTTTTATAAGAGCGATTCTAGCGCACATAACACATGATGCCTAGGACCGAACAGCTGAACAGGTGAAGATAACACAGCAAAACAACGCGACGTAAGTAATCATTCGAATGAAATGTATTTTAAAAAAGCAAACTATTATTGGATATTATCTTGGACTAGAGATCGAAACGAGCCAAACTTTGGTGCTGTTATTTAATTACAAAGTTTCGATGACCACCTTTTAGTTCCATCAATAAAGCTCAAATATTAACTCTGACCAAAGTCCTTGTTAAGACAAACGATTCTAAAGTCGATGGGCCCGTTCCTTTTAACTAGAGAGGTTCTATTACCAGAACATCTTCATTCTGTATTAATATTGTATTGCTGTCCGAGTTATATATACATGCATAGTATAATGTCAGCTTAATCGCATAACGAGAAGTGGGTCTAATTAGTAGGATTTGACACATACTGACAAACAGTAATAGTTTACTGTATATAAAAGATTGTATTTACATTACTTGTACAGTATTATTGTTTTCAATGTAAATGGACTATTAGTCTATGTAGTGACTATCTGACTCTTTAATATTTCAAAATAAAAGTTTTATCGCTTCTATTTTTGAGAAATTATTTAAATTTTCAGAAGTTTCGGATCCTTTACTCGTTCCGTGTTCACTTTATGTGTAATGAATTCGAAACTTCTGCAAAATGTAATTATTTAAAAAAATTATACGTAGTAAGCCCGTTTAAAAGTAGTTTTAAAGGATTTCTTATTACTTTTAGAGTTGATGTAATGCATTTTATTGGTAAAAAGTTTAAAACTAATGTTTTTAAATATAATAAATTTCTTATCTGAAAGAAGTCAAATTAATAAAATAAAATAGAATAATTTTGTTATCGTCTTCTTTTGCTTTTGGAATGAACTCGAAAACATTAAAAATAAAGACATCTTAAGTAGATCTTCCTAACTTTCAAGTCTAACAGCCGAAACTTTTGTAAGTTCCAAAGGCTAGCGCTGCATTTTGATATACAAATTCTAATGGAGTCGTCTCGTACCAATTCGTGTTAGTTTAATAGAATCTAAAGCAATTTTCTAAAATTCAAAAGTCCTATTAGAATTTGAATGTTATTACTATTATTTGAAGACGACTTATTTGAATATAGAGATGTTAATTTTTTTTTTTAGAATGAATATTTATTAGACTTAAATATAACAATGCTTGTTGTCTTTAGAGAAATGATGCTGTTGAAAGCAGTTGCAGTGTGCATATTTCCATTTGCAATAGCTTACCATCACCATGGCTCATCGGGCACTTTAGTCGATTTCGCAGACCCTAAGGTAATAAACATATTAAAATAATGACAACTGGTACTAATATGGTATAAGTATTGAGCAGCTCTTGTTGAACTAATAACAAGAGCGGCTCAATACTTACTAATGCAACACATTTTATGGTCTAATGGGATACTTTCGGTTTTAAAGGTCAGTTTTGGTACTACCGTAAATTTTTTTGCGGTAACACCTCTCTCCATATATAGCTCAATATCAGTGACTTCGTTATCGCTGTCATCAGCCATTAACGTCCCTGCTGTGGCACAAGTTTTACTAATGAATGGAATCGAATGGAATAGAGATAATAAGCCATGACCTTCCACGACTCGGGTCCATGACCTACCATGCAGTAGTGAGTGCAAAACAAAGCGTACCGAACGACTGAAGTAACTCTTTAACTGCGATGAGTCCAAAATTGCTAACAATAGATTGAGCGCGTCCTTACCGGTCGTCCACCATATCTACCGGTACCGCGTCGCCCTCACCCCTGGCCAGCCACGTTGACCTTGCCACCGCACACACGCACACACATCTACCTACTTTTACGAACACGGATCTTTGGCGTGTTACGTGAAGTTATATGGCATATATTTTCTTCCATAATGATATATTTTGTTTATAACAATCCTAAATATTTTAGTTGCAACATGATACTTGGTAGACACATAAATGAATTAACGACAAGTAATACTAAAAGATAAAATTTGTTCTTTTACTAACAGAAAAAAAAATCAAATAAGAACTTGCCATAAAGCATGTATGTATTATTACAGGTACAAGGTCATTTAGATGCGCTTGTCCGCTTGGCGCAGTCTTGCGTTATTAAAGTGCGGGCAACTCCGAAAGACGTTAGAGCATACTTCACCAATTCCGCACCTGTCACCAGATCAGGACAATGCTTCGCCGCGTGCATGTTGGAACAAAGCGATATCATTAACCATGGCAAGGTATGACATGTATTTTATGGTACAATCATAATACATTAACAAACAATTGTAAAAAATGGAAATGTGTTGAAATATATTTTTCCCTAGGTAAGGTCTTTATTCCCAAAGTCATATTAAGTATAATAATATACTTTACGCAACTTATTGCTGTGCTATTGACATAATAAATTATGAGTTTTTATAGCTAGAAATCAGTTTTAACTACTTTTAAACTTCATGAATTTACAAAAAACGTTTCATTTGTTATGATGCTTATTACTCAAAGCAGATCCAAAAACATGGCAAGTAGTACAACAAAACAAAGACTTTGGGAACCTCTGATAATTAAGCAAAATAGAATGGTTCGAGATAGCTATAGTAGTATATCGTTTACAAGAAGTAAGTATATTCATATCAATCTTTAACCAACGTTTTAAAACAATTTGACCGTAACGATTTTGTTGAGTTTGTAACATAGATACAAAGTGGATCCAATTCACTGAACACCGATAGATTCCATTACAGTTGGAAGCAAAAACCTTATTTCAATGCTATAGGTTTAAATCATTTGATTTCGATGAATTTTCCACACAACGAGTTTAATTAGAATCCGATCCGCCTTGGAGCTTATAGCGTTTGGTTTGATAACGGCAGACTCCGACCGTCCAATATTAGCGGTTCCGAAACGTGCTTTGTTCAAAACAACTCTTTATAACGAACGATTCGGTTTTCGGATCCGATGGGATATATAACAATGAAGGTTTTATCACATAATTACATTTCGTATACATTAATTCATAGTTAATCCGCGAAAACAATTTCATTAAACATCAAACCGTTTTTGGGAAATGAACAAGACAGAAATTTTAGGTGACACATTTTAACATCATCGTCACTAGCTTATTGATCTATTATAGCTCCTTACTGCTGGGGCACAAGAATGAGCTAAAACCCACCTAGCGACCACCCATCCTATGACCGGCCATTGTGAACGTTCTTTAACAACCATATCGCAGATCGAGTTCGCTAATCACTGCGCCATCGAGGTCCTCCTTTTTCAACATTTACACATTTTCACTTCACTTCACATTACACTTTAACATAAGATGTCTAATGCCTGCACGGTATATTTTTAAGCTATTTAATTTTAACTTACCACATTAGGAGATATATTTCTAAATATGTTGTTTGTAATTGAATAGTTAAATAAGGTTTAAAGAATTGCTTCATATTTTGTGTTGTTAAATCACGCCTAAATATAAATTGACGTTACATAAGATTATGACATCAACAAATAAATATAAGACAATATTATATTCATTATTCAGACTCCAAATTAATTAGTTTTTAGCACTTTGGATCGATCTCGGGACATCCGAAATGTTTTCAAGAGCTAATAATATCTGAGAATCATATTCAATGTCCTGTTCAATTGCAAATTTGATTTTGAATGATCTTGGAATTCTAATAGCAGATAATGTGCAAATATTCGATACCATAATACGTAACAGATAAAATCATTTTTTTCTCCATCATTCATTCATTCATTATAAGCTGTTAGACTGCTGAGCATAGGTCTCCTCCATAGATTTCCACGACAGTGGCTTTCTCCCGCGTCACGGGTTTTTGGTTTTCTCCATCAGCTACAGCTAATAATTATTGGTAACACATGTAGTTGTGATCGTATACCCTCCACTAACGAAATTCCGTTTCCGAAGTAATGACAATTTTTGAAAATGTAGACTCAGATAAACGATGATGCGAAAGTATTCATTTCTATTTTGTCATCTCTTTTAGGTCAATAGAGAGCTTCTCATACACCAAGCCAGTCTCGTCAACGGGAAGAACTCTCGTGTGGTGAGGAAGTTAAATAGCATCTCTCGCTTATGCTTGGACAGCATTGAGGGCATGTCGGACAGATGCCAATTGGCATCGACTTATAATGACTGTTTGAACGAAAACATGTTGGAATTCGCTTTCCCTCTCGACATAGCCGAGGAAGCAGTGAGAAAAATGCCGTTTCATCTCATACAACCCAAGTAAGTTACTCTACAAAACAGTTTCATAAACATTTATTAGGTATATCAGTAGAAGCTCTAAAGGTTTGAAAATCGATGGCATTATGTATAGCCCTCACTAAAAGTTTGGTTTAAATAAATTTAACAACCATCTAAATAAAACTTTTCAATGTTATTTTCGACGTCTTCCATGACCATTGTTGTCATCAAGGTCACGTCTGAGGATCTAGATTCGATTTTTGGTTGGTTCGATATACTAAATGATTTTGTATCTCAGATTTGGTTGTTCTGGTACTTTATTTTCAGTATTCCATAATTGTTGTATGACAGCTATTCGGGATCTTCCCACCTAGCTCTTCTAGCTATAACTCATAGCTGTAAGGTACAACATTTTAGCGATGTTATGGCGCTTTTTCGTTTAATTTTAATACTTTGTTAATTTACTTTTAATAACGAATGATGAATATGGCAGAGTTTTGAACTCATTCATTTATCTCAATTTATCTATCAAAAGTATTGTAAAATTAGTAAACTAAAACGGAATATCCTTTCCTTCCACTCTAACCAAATAAACTGATCAACTGTTTGTGCAGAATGGTACTCGATAAAGGGTTGTATTCTAATCTAACCAATTGGATTTTGACATATCATATTTTATTATGGAAAAATATAATAACTAGAGTTACGGCTACAGAGTTAAGCGATCGCACCTCTGGACAAATATTTATTTATTGACTATCGGCTCTATGAACAGTGAAATAATATTGACATAAAGATCAAATCAATAGGACTAGAAGATAGTAACTATTCCAATAGTGGTGAGTATTTGAAGTATTTTTCTTAATATATATCCATATAATATTGCGAATTGAATTTAGATCAAATATAATAATATAACAGCATTGGAACTTCTTAAGTTGCTCGTAATAGGGGAAAAATTTAAAGTTTTTATTAAGTCCAGAAATCTACGTTCTACATGTGGATTTGCAGTCTTATTTAAAAGTTTAATAAACATATATATTTTAAATAATTATTTAGGAACGCATGTAAACATTCCATATTAAGGATATTATTCCATAATTGGCTACTTTTCTCTATGACCATCGTTGTCTTTTACGTACGGCAGAGGTGTTACTTTTGGTCGTATGCTACACACGTATAACGGTCTACGGCAATGACCTTCCAAGTCTCTGAAGATAGAGAGGACCTATAATAATTTCGCGTTGAATCTCCGATTGCTTATCCAAGACACGTTTGCTTCTGAATCTTGAAATTACTGGATAGATGATGATTTCTAGTGTAAGCACAAGCACGTATAATAACGGTATATTATTATATTGCGATTCTTAATTAAAGCATTAACGAGAAAGGTAATTTGAGTGATAGTTAATTTTATTGATAAGATTTATTTAAAAACTTGAATGTTTCTATTTTCATCTGACCCAGGCCAGGGTTCGTAAACCCATAACGTACTGTTTTTCTATTATTTTATTTTGTTGTTATTTAGTCAGTATTTTTTTACCGATATTATACTTGCCAAGTCTACTCAGACTTTTTCCTTTGACTACCGTTCACTAAGCTAGCCTGGGCTCCGTTACAAATTCGACTTCATTTGAAGTCGCGCGGTTATGGTTTGCTAGTCCTCGTTCGATTTCCAATGATGGTTGTAGAATTTGTTTACTATATGAGTAATTTTTAAATGTTTTACAGTCGGTTTTAGTTTTACTTTAATTATTCACATACCTCTTATAAGTGAGTTAATTAATAAATTTCTTGAGTAGGTATCATTTTGTAACTGTTCAAAGGTCCTTTGATTTAGAATCCGAGGCTTTAATTGCTATGCAGATTGAATCTGAGCCTCAATTAAAGTTTTCGAGATGAAATATAAGTTAAAGGTGCCTTTTTTTCTGTTTCAGTTTGCCGCAAGAAATAAGACAATCTAATTACTAAAGTGCCAATGTTTTTTTACCTTTACAACTTTCTGTATTAAATAATTTTTATTGAACATTTCTTTGTCTAATTTAATTTGTTATGTAAATATAAATTTCCATAATAGGGATGAAGAAATGCAATTCTATTTAATAGAAAAATATTAGATACGTATTTTTTTTTTACTTCAATTGAACAAGAAATAGCTTAGATAACAGGCATTAAAGTTGAGGAGTGGGGGCTCGCTACGTCACAGTTGAGTAGGAAACGTACCCTAACGTGACGTCATGCGAAAATTCAACACCATGTAACGTCGTAATTATTTTATGATTACGATAAAAATAAAAAAATACGTGTTTAATATTTTTTAACACTCTACCTGACGGACAAACAAACAAAAATTAGTCATCATCCCTATTATCGTGTGTCATCCGGTTGGTAAATTATTTGCACGTATATATAGCGTACTAGCTTCGCCTGCGTGGTCTTTGTTATTGTTATTATGATTACATTCAAATAGAAATTGAATTGAAAATTTAAATTGAAATTCATTAAGCTCTCAAACTACTGGACCGATTTCAAAAATCCTTTTACCAATAGAATCCTCTATCATCCCTTAGAGGTTAGAATATTATCAAAAACTTTACGGATATTTATGAGATTCATAAATTTACGTTTTTATATCTCTCTATATGGTGAATTTTTGATTGTTATGATATTCGCCCTGACCAATCTTCAACTTTTCATTTAACTGCAGGTTTTTCAATTCATACTTCAAGACAAAATCGTCTTTATTGGTATTGTAATTAAAACATACAATATGAATACCAAATATTGTTACTTTTCCCTGAACACACTAGCGTAATTAATCCATTCGGTCAGAGCGAATATTCATATTTGCTCAAGAAAAACTATGGGCGGTATGATCTGCAAATAAATAAGGTCAATATGGTGCGGATAAAGAAAATATGATAATATGATCAGAATATACGGTATATGTTCGTCATTGTTTACAGTAACTAGCGAACTATTTTGAGTCTATATTTCAAGATTCCATAGTCGTCACATGTAATATCCGTAATGTCTAGCTTGAGCACTGGTCTCTACTTTGAATGGAATCGAGTTGGGAGACTGAATACACATGAGATTCAGTGACATGACGCGGGTCCATCTGTAGCAGTTTAGACCATATGTGCACGAAGCACGGAGGGAGCTCGAAATAACATTTTTGGTCAACCCTGGTCAACCCAATGACAGGCCCTTGTGAAAGTTTCTCAACTTACGTAACACAGACCGCACGCATCAACTACTACGCAATCATGCTCTTCAAGTGTCCGTATCACAGAACAGAAAAAGATCCGTACCGTAGTAATGGGTTGTTTCTGTCCTTGTCACTCTCGTGCGTGTTAACGTCTGTGTTACTGCTCGAAAGACTTTGATTATAAAAAAGGACTAGCAAGCAGCATTTGCAAATGGAATAATCGGAATTTAAATTTATGTTGATATTAAAGAAAACCAATGATCTATTGTAAAATAAAAATAAATAAATAAAATTTTATTTGTTTATCTGAGTAACATAAGATCGTCTGAACATTGATGAAAATACGTTCTGTAGGAGTAAAAAAGCAACAAGTGCTTGAAATATTCGTTAGTCCTATTAACCCCTGGGTAGCTCAGTTGTTAGAGCAGTCGCCTGGATTGCTAAAGGTCATGGGTTCGAGTCCTATCCCAGAGTGCCAGAGGCAAAGTGGATTTTTTTTATTTTTTTTTATTAAAATATGGTTAGAACAAGTTCTTTTAGGATGAATAATATACTCAACAATCGAATCTAATATATTTGAATAGAAAGAAATGGGCCAGCCACAGGCTGCTCTTTCAAATATGAATTTTCCAATAACCGAGATCTGGGAAAAAAGTGAAATCTAAAAGTGAATACACTTTGATTTCAACATTCAGAAACGAGAGAATAATGACGTTCGGGGCAAGCTAAGAATATTAAATGCCAGACGTTTATATCAAATACACTATGGATAGGTAGATTCAGACAGCGAATTATATTTGGACGACCTAAGGCCGAAGTCGAACTTTGTTTAAGTATATCTGAAAATACATACATCTCTAAATGTCTGCACTTGTATAGAAGGTGTGTTATAAATTACAAAGTCGCTATGTGTTTGATGGCAAAAATTAGGTATAACTGAATTTATTTGAAAAAGAATTCACATCATACGTTTTTTATAATAAAACTCATCAGTAGGGTGGGGGTGGGGGGGAAGAATCTGAGATTCTGCAAGGAGAGCTCCGGAGTCTACCCCAGTTTGGGACCCTATTAAGGCCCCCTTGAGATCATCATCAAACATCCTCTACCTATACGACTATTAATATAATTTTTGATGAAATTAAAAATTTACATAAATGATATTTCTTATCCTACTAAACAGTCCATGGACCACGTGCGAAAAGCTGAAATGTATAATGATAATAATCATTCATTGCATGTCGCATAGTATAAAGCTAGTCAATAATTATTACTAGGAATATGAATAAATCATTTTTAATCATGTGATTCCATTTTTTGTTCCAACATATTTGACATTTTGTCTACCCAAACATACAATGGTGCAGCGTGACAAACTGAAATTGTAGCGGTGTCAAATAGCTGAAAGTGTTAATTATACAATGATGTATGATCGCTGACGTTGATGTCATTTAATCCAATGAGACATTGCTCTTTTGAATGTAAGGCGCAGTGTAACATCCTCTATAACATCGTTACTCAAATCGTGCTCCGCAGAACCCAAACAAAACTAAACTACTGATCAAGAAACAAAACTATTGATCAATATATACACATCTGTGTTCTGTGCATAAAGCTACATTTTATTTAAAATTAGTGGCGTGTGTGTAAATTTTAAATTTTTAAAATTTTTTGCAATCATTGTATGTAAATTTTCCTCCTTAACCATCCATAAAGAAGGCCTGAGCCCCTGCAGTGGGGACGGAAAAGGGCTGGTGGTGGTGGTGTAAATTTTGTTCCCAAAAGAGTTCCATTACCAAAAGAGAGAATCGCTGCGCTGCAATAATCAAGGCTTCAGTTCTAAAAATTTTGACATACGTAATAATCGCATCACATTAGTTTTAACTGATTACATTTTGCCTTTGTACTATCTACCTGAAATCCAATATAAATTTAATATAATCAATGCAATATCTTCATCACTATAGTGGAATAATAATGATTTTGTGATCTAATAACAAAACTTTGTCATTAAAGGTAGTTGAAGAGCTATTAACTTGCTATAACTACTCTAACATTGACAGAGTTGTCCTTAGGCCAGGATCTACAACTTTTCCAACCGGAACAGACACTTGTCCTTAACGGGGTGGGTTAAGACCTCAGCAAATATTGTTTATTACCATATTTTTGCAATCATTAATTTAATTTAGATATTTTAAAAGATGCATCCCATCGTAGCCTATGTCTATGGTTTTAAGTTATCGTGATTTTGGCGCCGCCTCCCTGCCATTAGTGCCCAGGGCATATAACCCTACTTGCCTTCCTCCTAGATCAGGAACTGTACACTCTTCAGTACATTTACAATTGAAAATATCTTAGCTGTTTCACTCACTATGGTTTAAACTGCAAAGAACCTTGACTTTGAATTGTTACTCAAAAAAGACTGGTTAATATTTCAAATGTTCTGTAATCAATGTTTTTTTCTTACTATTCAATATGGATTACGTCTTTTTTCTCCACCCTTCGACATTGATTAAGTAATAGCCTATTGTGTACTCACAAAAAAGCTAATATTAGAACTATTCTCCCAATAGAGATACACCTATTTACTTTTGTCTTCGTTTACTTTGTAATGAATAGCCATTTGTGAATGTTGTCGTTTAGCAAACATGACCTTTTATCCTCTTAATATAATGTTCAGAAATCACCCGACTGATAAAAAGCCTATTACGCATTAAATAGATTAACTTCATTGTTTATATAAAAATAAAGTACGTAAATAGCCTATTATGTGTAAGATGATTCCTTAGAAAAAATTGCTGACTTCAGATTGGTAAGATCCTTTTTCTCATAACCAATAACTAATCAGTTGATGGGCTTGATGGCGCAATACTGAGCATCTTTACTTTGCGATGCGGAAGTTAAGCATCTTTTACAAAGTCATTTTTAATAGGATGGGTGACCAAAAATATATTATCTCGACTTTCTCCGGGCGGGGGAAGTCACGTTGAGCATTTGTTTCCAGATGCATCTGCAGTCGTTTAAACCTACCAATCCGTACTCCGTAACGATTATTCTCTGTAGACTGGTGATAATAAACTAACCAGTATATCGTTAATTATAAGTATACTTTTCTATTATAAGTATATTTAAATTAAATCACAATAAGTAGCTTATGGCTTCATAACCTTAGTATAACAGCTGACGTGATAGCCTTATTTTGAATAAAAGGGTGATTCCGTGGAAACAGAACTTCTGGTTTGATACATGCGTCATTTACTGTACTTCAAAAATAATGAATCTTGGCTGATATTTTTATTTTAAAATATACATAGAATTTGATATAGCAGACTTAGACGTCGCCGATTAAAAATACATAGAGATTTATTATTTTTGAAGAACAGTAATGACGGATGTATAAAAACGGACGTTCGGTTTTCGCGGATTCACTAAAAAAAACTTTAGGATTAAATTACTGTATAATTTGAATACCTTTTCTATTAAATTTAAAATCTTTTTTAAACCTTGATACTAATCATAGGTGGTATGTATGATGCCTTTATGATGTACAGTTACAACAAAAAACCAAATTTCTGCAATTAATTTTGTGCTTAACTATTACAAGAATAATGTTTTGAATCTATTGAATAATATTCCTGAACATAACACCGCGCAAGCGACAGTGGGTGTAGAAGACGAAAGAAATGACAATCGA